GCATTTTAGAAGTCAGCCGAACGAGTGGTCACCGACAACATGTTTTGAGTAGTTTTGAATAAACAACATGGGCAAGCCCTGTAAGGAGACGAGTAGACTACAGTCCTCCTCTCCTCCTCCTCCGCCTCCTCCTCCTCCCTCCCTCCCTCCTCCTCCTCCTCATCCTCCTCCTTTTCCTCCTCCCCCTCTTCCTTCCTCTGGCGCCTCGCGCGCGTTATTTCTACGTGTGAATGCTGCTTCGCCGATCTCCCATGGCGGGCGCCCTCGCGCCCCCATCCGCCGCGCCTCTATGGCGCCGCGCGCGGAGCCGAGTCCGAGTGCGAGTCCGGGCCCCCCTCAAGTCGGGCGCGTAGGAACCTTCAGCCATAATCAAACAACAGCCTGGCGAAGGACTCAACCAGATTCAGCTGTAGGTACCGCGATCGCGTGTATAATTTTCGGTGGGGTTTCTTAAGGGGGGGTGCGAAATGTGCGAGAGCGTCTCCTTCTTTGGGCCACGAGGCGCCGCCTGCTTTGCAGTGCGCCATGCAGGGCTCCGCAGCTACGCAGGTCGTTCCACCCAGGTGGCGCCCCCCTGTGGGGCCGCTGCCCTGGGCGGGGGGGGCGCGCGCGAACGCCCCCGCTAGGGCTTCGGGCGGGGCTCTTTGCGGGGCGACGAAGCGCCGTTCTGGGCGGGGGGGGGGGGGCGAGTGCGAGCGCCGCCGCCGAGGCCTTCGGCGGAGCCCCCCACGAAACGCTGTACTGAATCGGGGAGACGCATGCGAGCACCGCCATTGAGGCCTTCGGTGGAACTCCCTGCGGGGCGACGAAGCGCTGTCCTGGGTGGGGGAGACGCGCGCGAACACCGCAACTTGGACCTTAGGTTGAGCCCCCTGCGGGGCCACGAAATTCTACGCCGGGCGGGGGGGGCGCATGCGAACGCCGCCATTGAGGCCTCAAGTGGAGCTCTCTGTGGGGCGACGAAGCGTTGTCCTGGCTGGCGGAGGCGCGTGGGAACACCGCCGCGGGGGCCTTAAGTGGAGCTCCATGCGGGGCCACGAGGCGCTGTCCTGGGCGGGGGAGGCGCGCGCGAACACCGCCAGTGGGACCTTAGGCGCAGCTCTCTGTGAGGCCGCGAAACGCTGCGTTGGGCGGGGGGGCTCATGCGAACACCGCCATTGGGGCCTCAAGTGGAGCTCCCTGTGGGGCGACGAAACGATGTCCCGGACTGTGGAGACGCGTGCCGCGGGGGCTTTAAAGTGGGGCCCCATGCGGGGCCACGAGACGCTGTCCTGGGCGGGGGGGGCGCGTGCGAACACCGCCAGTGGGACCTTAGGCGCAGCTCCCTGTGAGGCAACGAAGCGCTGTGTTGGGCGGGGGTGGCTCATGCGAATACCGCCGCTGGGACCTCAGGTGGGGCTCTCTGCGGGGCGACGAAACGCTGTCCTGGGCGGGGGGGCGCGTGCGAATAGCGCCACGGGGGCCTTAGGTGGAGCTCCCCATGGGGCCACGTTGCGCTATGCCGGGTGGGGCAGGCGCATGCGAACTGCGCCACTGGGGCCTCCAGTGGAGCTCTAGGTGGGGCGGCGAAACGTTGTCTTTGGTGGTGGGGGCGCGTGCGAACTGCGCCGCTGGGACCTTCGGCGGAGCTCCGCACGGGGCCACGACGCGCAGTACTGAATGGGGGAGACTCATGCGAACACCGCCACTGGGGCCTCAAGGGGCGACGGAACGCTGTCCTGGGCGGGGGGGGGCGCGTGTGAGTTGCGCCGCGGGGACCTTAGGCGGAGCTCCCTATGGGGCCACAGCGCGCTGTACTGGGTGGGTGGGTGGGTGGGGGGGCGTCTGCGAACTGCGCCGCTTGGACCTTCGGTGGAACTCCCTATGCGCCCGCAAAGCGCTGCGCTGTGTGTGTGTGTGTGTGTGTGTGCGTGTGCGTGTGCGTGTGCGTGTGCGTGTGCGTGTGCGTGTGCGTGTGCGTGTGCGTGTGCGTGTGCGTGTGCGTGTGCGTGTGCGTGTGCGTGTGCGTGTGCGTGTGCGTGTGCGTGTGCGTGTGCGTGTGCGTGTGCGTGTGCGTGTGCGTGTGCGTGTGCGTGTGCGTGTGCGTGTGCGTGTGCGTGTGCGTGTGCGTGTGCGTGTGCGTGTGCGTGTGCGTGTGCGTGTGCGTGTGCGTGTGCGTGTGCGTGTGCGTGTGTGTGCGTGTGCGTGTGCGTGTGCGTGTGCGTGTGCGTGTGCGTGTGCGTGTGCGTGTGCGTGTGCGTGTGCGTGTGTGTGTGCGCGTGTGCGTGTGGTGGTGGGGGGGCGTGCGAGCTGCGCCGCTGGGGCCTCCGGTGGGGCCCCCAGTCGGTGGAGCTCCCTATGGGGCCACAACGCGCCTTACTGGGCGGGGGAGACGCATGCGAACTGCGCTACTGGGTCCTTCGGTGGAGCTCCCTATGGGGCGACGAAGCGCCGTGCTAGGTGGGGGGGGCGCATGCGAACTGCGCCGCGGGGGCCTGCGGTGGAGCACCCTATGGGGCCACGAAGCGCTGTGCTGGGCATGGCGATGATGGTAATGATGACGGCGATGACGGTGATGATGATGATGATCATGATGATGATGACGACGGCGACGATGCTGATGCTGATGATGATGGTTCTGATCTGATTATGATGATGATTTTGGTGATCATGATGATGCCGGTGATGATTACGAGGGTGATGATGGTGGTGGTGATGATGATGACGATGACGATCGTGAGGGCGCGCGAGGGGCAGGGGCACTGGATGGGGGGGTGGGGGGGGAGGAGGGAGAGGAGGAAGGAGGAGGCGCGGAGCGCTGTCTCTTCACAGCGAGGACGAAACACCACAGGATGGTTCGGAAATCGCCTGGTCTGAGGCAGTTGTATAGGGGGGAACAGGGGGCAGAGTGTTAGCACAGCTTGGAGGAATTAATGAATTCAGCACGGGTCGGGCTTGAAGCGCCTCGAAGAACGCGCGCGCACCCAAACCGCAAGCATATGGCTATATGCGGGCCCAGGACAGTTTGCTTCCCGCCGTCGTCCTCGCCCTTGCTCCGTTCCCCTTCCTCTCTCCCCTCCCCTGGGTGGCGCCGAAAGCGTCCGCGGTTCGGGCGGGGGGGTGCCCCTTCCCACCTCCTTCATTATTCCTCTTTCCTCTTTGCCTCCCTGCCCCGCCGTCCGTCGTCCTACCTCGTCTTCTCCCGCGTTCGAAAAGCGAAGTCCCTGGCGCCGCGCGCCCGTATCAGCGGTATCTCGTTTTCTCGATATCCGAGCACAACGGCGCAACCAAACAGAGGCGATTGACAGCGCGAGCGTTCGGGGCGCGCTCCAAACGCGGGCGGCGCGGCCGCCGGGCACAGTCGCATCGCTACTTTGTAAATTATAAGCGCCTGCGGCAAGGTCCGCCCCCTTGCCAGGGCAGCGGTCTGCACGGCGACGCGTGGATTTTTGATTGTTAAGAGACCCATGGCATGTGGCACCTCTCGTGTTTTCGGATTGCTGCGCGGCGTTCCTCGGGGTCCTTGCGAGGCCTTTTCGGTGCGTTTTCGGACCGTTGGGGGCCGCTTTGGCGCCGCGTTTCTCCGCGGCCGCCTCGGGCCAGGTAAGCGCATATTTGCAGCTCCCACGGGCGCGCCATGAGCCGGGGAAGTGTGTAGTTGCACCACCCCCGAGCTGGGCATGTCGACCTCGGTTCTGGGTTGGCAAAGTCGGGGCACCCTCGAGGTGGCGAGCGTTCACTTTTTCGAAATGCGCGGATGAAGGTGTGATATGTGTACACAGCTTGCGTCTTCAACTGTGTATTTTCGTGTGTGGGCCTACTGTTTACACAGGTCGTGGTGTGATCTGTGCACGCAGATCTCGCTCCCATCTGTGTATTTGGAGCGTGCGCCTCGCAGGTGGTGTTGATTGGGCGGGGACTGTTACGTTTCTCTTTCGGCTGGTCCAGGGGGGCGTCGTGCGCGGTCGAAATGCACAGGTCGTGTCTCCAACTATGCATATGTTGCGCGCCGCTCGCTGGAGTGGTCAGTGGGCGGGAGTTTCGGCGGGTCTCCCGGCTGGTCCGGGGGGGGGGGAGGGGGCAGTGGTCTGGGCACGCACAGGCGCGAGGGGGTGGGGATGGTGGGCTGTGGGAAGGAGGGGGTTCGATTGGGGGGGTGGCCAAGGGCCCAGGAATGAGCGGGGCTGGGCTCGAGGGAGGCGGGGCGGGGCAGAAGGAGGGGCCATGATGTGCATTAAGGCGTAGAGGATGGAAGGAGGGCAGGCGCGTGGACGATGGCGGAAAGAATATGGCGGGGGGGACGACGAGGAACGACATGACGTGGCACATGAGGGGTGACAATGTGGATGAGGGAAATGATGAGGACCAGGGGTTATCGGAGGGGCACGAGGAGAGTGGGCCGAAGCGAAGGGATATTGGGAGGCGGCGGGGGATGGTGCGTGAGTTTGAGGCGGGCGCCAGCTAACGATTCGCTGAACAGTGTTTTGCGTGTCCGTGCCCCCCCCCCCCCCAGAACAAAGTGACTGGTTGCAGAATGTCATGATATGTGTAATCGTGCGTTTCGTGCTTCCTTGCCAAAGGCTGGGGTCCACGACGCCCCTTGGCGTCGCGTTGATGCCGCCCCGATTTGCAAGACCGCATATGCACAGAGACATAATATGTGTTCAACGTTTGTTTCAGGGCCCTTTTCTATAGTAACATACCCACGTTGGAAACCAAGCCTGGGTACGCCTTTTTATAACTATTTGTTTGTATGTTCTGACAACTTGCGAATTACCGGCCAAGATCCGCTTGGAGGAGGACACGCTCGACCTGAAAGTCCCCTCAGACCGACTGTTTGGGGCCCCCCTCCAGCCGAAACCGCTGCTGTTTTGCCTGCGGGGCATGCGGGGGGCATCCGTTTGCGGCAGCTCGGTGCACCAACAGATCGAGCCCGTGCGCCTCCTAAGGAGCACCCCCCTTCTGGCGGATCCCCGCAATTCTGCAGTCGATCTTCTACTCGAACAGTCTCGGTTCCCCAGGACACCAGCGAACGCCTGGACCGTCAGGATTTGTCTCGGGCGGTGTTTTTCGCCCTCGACCGCGACGGCGATGGCGCCCTGAGCGAGGCGGAGATGCGGCGCTTCGCGGCGCAGACGGGCTTCGAGGGGAGCCCGGAGGAACTCGTATAAGCAAGGGCGCCATGAACTCCAAGTTCCGACGGCCCGCGCGGATTTCTTGCCTCGGCGCTGGACCACCCTCGCGGCGCCCCTGGCACCGCGCCAGGGAACGGGCCCAGCGCCCGTCCGAGGCATCCGCGCGGCCCGTCGCAGGCTTCTGTGCCCCTGCCGCTGCTGCCCCCTCTCGAGGAGTGGTCCACCGAGTACCGCGCCCTCTGCCTCGAGCGCGGGGCCACGCGCGGGCTCGACCTCGCTGTGTTCCGGGGCCTCGTGGACGACAAGAGCGCGGCCGGCTGCCATTGCAGCGACCAGCAGCTGGCGGAGATCGCCCACGCCCTGCAGGCCGACCGCGGAGGCGATGCGGCCACCGGCGCCTCGCAGCCGAACCGCGGCGCCCACGACCTGCGCGGTGAGCTGGCGCGGGCCGTGTTCGCTCTGCTGGACGGCGACGGCGACGGGCGCCTCGCGGAGGCTTGCAAGGAAAAGGGCAGCCCAAACCCAAACCTCCGAGGGTTCGGGCTAGTTTTTGTCCGTCGGCGGCTGGGCAGAGGCAGTCCTTTCCAGCGTGTGGTTACTCGGGGCAACCGATACGCGCATTGGCCGGCGTGCCAGAGGGCGGAGAAAGGCGAGAGTGGCCGCGCGGGGGGAGGGGGACCGGGCGGATGGTTTCTCTGAAGTGTTTATGCGACCAGTCCTCCTCGTCCTCCTCCTTAGGCTGCTGCTCCTCCTCCTCCTCCTGCTCCTCCTCCTGCTCCTCCTCCTGCTCCTCCTCCTGCTTCTCCTGCTCCTCCGCCTGGGCCACAGTCGACACCTCCACATTTTGCTCCCTGTATGGAGGTCTGTGGCAGTGGATGTCAAATCCTCCTCCTCCATCTCCTCCTCCCCCTCCTCCCTCCTCCTCTCCCTCCTCCTCCTCCTCCTCCTCCTCCACCTCCTCCTCCTCCTCATCCACCTCCTCCTCCTCCTCCTCCTCCTCCTCCTCCGCCTCGGGTCGCCTGTGGCCACGGGGGAAACCGCGCAGGACCGGCCCAAGAATCCGCAGCGGAGGTTTCTCGCCGCACTGTCGGCCGCTGGAGGCCCTCTCGCCGGGCCCTCTGGCGCCGTCCAACAAAAACGGCATGCGGCGAGAATCGGTGGCGACGAAAGGGGGCGAATCGCCCGTGGGGGGAGGAATACATGAATCCAGGGGTCGCGGGTGGGTCGCGGGCCGGGTCGCCGGGGGGACGACGACAACAACAACAACAAGCATAATTTTCACCACGGATCCGCACTTCAGCCACGCATCTAGGGACAATGATTGACCGTTCGGCCCCCTCACTCTGACATGTATCCAGGGGTGCCGATGATCTATGTCTTGGACGAGGCTCCTGGGCGAATGCGTGAACTGCCCTCCCTTGGGCTATTCGCCCCGATCGTCGCCGGCGAGAGGAGCTGGTCGGGGGGAGGGGCTCACCACTTCCGCGGGCGCCGCATCGAGTCGGGGAAACTCGAAGAAGAAAAAACACGTAAACATAAACTGTTGGCGCTCCGCGCGGATTCCGTGGGTCCGCGCGTGGGCCCCCGGGCGGCGCCTCCAGCGCCGCCCCTGGCGCGCTCCGCGCGCCAGGGAGGGGGGTCCAGCGCGAATGCAAGAAATCCGCGCGGAGCGCCAACTGTTTATGTTTATGTTACCTAACAGCTCTTGCTGATAGGTTTCTAGTGGTCTCAAAAGAGAGCATCATGACTCCTCAGGGGGGTCTGGGCGGGACCCGGATCGGCTGCCGCCGAAGCCGAAATCGCTTGGGACATCCTCGCAAAATCGCTCTTGGTGCTCCCAGAACTCCATTCCCGGGCCACATTTTGGATGCCCGGAGCCAACTGTAGGCCACTTCGTGCTCTTCGACTTCCCAGAACTCCATTCCCGGGCCACATTTTGGATGCCCGGAGCCAACTGTAGGCCACTTCGTGCTCTTCGATTTCCCAGAACTCCATTCCCGGGCCACATTTTGGATGCCCGGAGCCAACTGTAGGCCACTTCGTGCTCTTCAAGTTCCCAGAACTCCATTCCTGGGCATGATTTTGAATGCCCGGAGCCAACTGTAGGCCACTTCGTGTTCTTCTAGTTCCCAGAACTCAATTCCTGGGCCACATTTTGAATGCTGAGGCAGGCTGATGCTGCGGCCGAGGCAGGCTGAGGCTGAGGCAGGCTGAGGCTGAGGCCGAGGCTGAAGGCAGACTGAGGCTGAGGCTGAAGCAGACTGAGGCTGAGGCTGAGGCAGGCTGAGGCTGAGGCTGAGGCAGGCTGATGCTGAGGCAGGCTGAGGCTGAGGCTGAGGCTGATGCAGGCTGAGGCTGAGGCAGGCTGAGGCTGAGGCCGAGGCTGAAGGCAGACTGAGGCTGAGGCTGAAGCAGGCTGAGGCTGAGGCTGAGGCAGGCTGAGGCTGAGGCAGGCTGAGGCTGAGGCTGAGGCAGGCTGAGGCTGAGGCTGTGACTGCGACTGCCGTTGCCGCTGCGACTGTCATCGCGAATGCGACTACGACTGCGAGAACAGCAGAATTCTACAACTGGATTTTCATCTGAATCTTAAGGGGAATGCTTTCAGATATGCTTCTACACATCGCTGTTAGGTTGCTTTGCCGGGATAATTTTTACCTAACAGCTTTTGCTGATAGGTTTCTAGTGGTCTCAAAAGAGAGCAGCAGATGACTCCACAGGGGGGTCGGGGCGGGACCCGGGGCGGTGCCGCCGAAGCCCAAATCGCTTGGGACATCCTCGCAAAATCGCTCTTGGCGCTGCTAGAACTCCATCCCCGGCGTACATTTTGGATGCCCGGAGCCAACTGTAGGCCACTTCGTGGTCTTCGAGTTCCCAGAACTCCATTCCCGGGCCACATTTTGGATGCCCGGAGCCAACTGTAGGCCACTTCGTGGTCTTCGAGTTCCCAGAACTCCATTCCCGGGCCACATTTTGGATGCCCGGAGCCAACTGTAGGCCACTTCGTGCTCTTCAAGTTCCCAGAACTCCATTCCTGGGCATGATTTTGAATGCCCGGAGCCAACTGTAGGCCACTTCGTGTTCTTCTAGTTCCCAGAACTCCATTCCTGGGCCACATTTTGAATGCTGAGGCAGGCTGATGCTGCGGCCGAGGCAGGCTGAGGCTGAGGCAGGCTGAGGCTGAGGCCGAGGCTGAAGGCAGACTGAGGCTGAGGCTGAAGCAGACTGAGGCTGAGGCTGAGGCAGGCTGAGGCTGAGGCTGAAGCAGGCTGATGCTGAGGCAGGCTGAGGCTGAGGCTGAGGCTGATGCAGGCTGAGGCTGAGGCAGGCTGAGGCTGAGGCCGAGGCTGAAGGCAGACTGAGGCTGAGGCTGAAGCAGGCTGAGGCTGAGGCTGAGGCAGGCTGAGGCTGAGGCAGGCTGAGGCTGAGGCTGAGGCAGGCTGAGGCTGAGGCTGTGACTGCGACTGCCGTTGCCGCTGCGACTGTCATCGCGAATGCGACTACGACTGCGAGAACAGCAGAATTCTACAACTGGATTTTCATCTGAATCTTAAGGGGAATGCTTTCAGATATGCTTCTACACATCGCTGTTAGGTTGCTTTGCCGGGATACTTTATCTACGTAAGGCTCGAGTGAGCCGGAACTTGGGTTTGCCGACGGTTTTTGACGAGCGCGTCCTGGATGTTGACGGTCCAGTTTTCATGGGATGTCTGCAGCGGGAGTTCGCGTCAAATTTCAGATTTGGTCTCATCATTTTTATGATGGCCCCATCAGGCCAACCCGAGTCCCCCTTACCCGAGTCTTACGTCCCCCCGTTTGAACAAAAACCGAGGCATCAGATCTGTGAAGACGAGCATTCGGAGCTCCGCGCGGATTTCTGGGACATGCGCTGTGCCCCCCCCTGTGGCGGCGCCTCCAACGTCGATCCAAGGGATCCGCGCGGACCTCCGAAAGTCTAACCCTAGGAAGTAATCAGCCGCCCCCCCCTCATCAACGGAAATTACAGCGCGTCCGTCGCCGGAGCAGAGGACCGCGACCCAAGATCCTTTGGTCGGGCAGTGGGAGCAGGAGGAGGGTTCGGGCGACGGGAGGCTTCGCGGAGTCCGTCTGCGATGTCCATTCGTGGGCTCTCCCATAGGACCCCCTGAGCTGGTAACTGTCTGCAGCGGGATCGCACTAGGGATTGCCTGTGTCCAGCGGTCCACGCGAGCCCGCGTCCTCCGAATTCCGTTGATTGGAGATTCCCTTGCGATTCCTCGAGGCGAGAGCCATCGTTAAGTTGTGTATTTTTTTGTGTGGGCTAGCGATGTAGCGGGGAGGGCGCCGCCGAAAGTAAAAATGCCATCGTGCCCGGGTTGTGGGCCGTGGGCTTGCTTCTCGGGGGCTTCTTGGGAGTCGTTTTGAGGCCTGAGGGGGGGCCGTCTAGGAGCTGCTTGGGACGTCCTGGGGGTCTTCTTGGGGTCTCTTTGGGATCTCTTGGGGCCTCTTTGAGGCCTCCTTGGGGCCTCCTGGGGGCATTTTGCAGCGGAAGGCTTGGATGATCGGTTCGTGCTTCCCCTCTTGGGCCCTTCTTGATGTTGTTTTTGGGCCCTCTTGTGCCGTCGTGGGCGCCTCTGGGTCCGTCTCGGAGCCCTCGGGCCGTGTTGGGCTTTTCCTGCGGGCCTCTTGGGCCGTCTTGGGGCGGTCCTTGGGGCCTCTTGGGCCGTCTTGGAACGTCGGGAGGAAGCTGGAAACGGCGAGGGCCCCAAAATCATTGAGCCACTTCTGGGACATGATTTTGGCATCTCGGAGCCCTCTTGGGAAGGCTCTTGGGGCTCTTTTGGGGCGTCTTGCAGGCCTCTTGGGCCGCCTTGGGACCAGATCGGGAGTCTTGGTGCGTCCGTTCGGCGACTCAGGGCCCTCTTGGACTGTCGTGGGGGCCTCTTGTAGCCCTCTTGGCCCGTCTTCGGCCCCCCTTTTCCCAAAAAGTAGTGCGGAAAGACGTGAGAATCTCCACTGGGATGGTTGTCGTCCTTCCCTATTTGCATCAGTCAGGTACACGCACCCGTAAACATGTTGTAATTTGTGCTGTAAGTTGTATATGCGTAACTTAGAAGATTTGGACGCATGTGATAGGCACCGCACGTTACAAGTAAGTGGGAAGATCTGTCACGCGACAATTCACATAATGACCAACAACTGTTGTTGAAACATGATGACCATCACCCTCCCTCTCCCCCGGGATTCGCTACTGCGATGTATTCGCCGTCGAATGACTATGTTTGTATCTGTCCCCCTGGAAATGCCCCAGGAGCGCTCTGGGATCGCGCCGGTAGGCTGAAGACGCTCCCAGAAGGCGGCCTCCAAGACAGAGTCTGGAAAGCCTTCCCCCGTTTAGTGGCAGTACCGATTTGCCGGGTTAGAGATAGCGCGCCAAGTATTTCAATATCTCTGCGATTTGTCAAGACACACATCAGACAGCACTGGCAAAGTCGTGAAGCGTGTCGCGCATAGCGACGAGGTCACCCCAGGGAATCCCGTGGCGGATCACATCGATCGCGCACTCCATGCGATCCCCTGGTCTGTCTCAGGCTTTGGATTTTCCGTCCTACTGAACGAGCTGGCATGGTTTACGTTGGTGGGGATTCGGAGCAACGCTGTCAAGGGGATGAGTGGGCGCCTCATCCAGTTAATTGTTCACGCCCTCGAACTTTTTCGTTGGTTCTCCTGATGGCCGCGACCTGGAGCAGGACATCGCGGTCGCAATGCCGGGTGACATCGATTGCAGAGTAATCGTGGGGAGTTTAGACTTGTCTGCGCAAGGTAAGAACGCATTCACGTTTATGATGGAGCGCAAGGGCTCATGAGGACACAACGTGTGCGCTCTCTGCCAAGACGTCGTTGGGGTATTTCCTTGTTGCCAGATGCAAACTAGACATTCGAACATTAAGGCTACCCACGGGCAGTTCAATGTTGGAGTGCAGCGGCGGCTGCGCGAGTTGAAGGAGCGTCGCGGACACGGAAAACCGAAGAAGATGCACACTTGGCTCGGATGGAACTATGGTGAGAAAGGCCCGTTAGGTTACGACGATCTCTTTTTGGATATCATCAATTGCTAGTCGCGGGATGGGATGCGTTGTTATGCAGTGGGCGGAATCATGGACCATACCATCACGACACTCACCACCAGCGACCTCGGAAAGACATCAGCAGCTTGGCAAAGTACTTCACGGCTTCCTTCAGAAGTCGAAGCGGCCTAGGCGACGCTGGCGGCAGTGAGATCTGCGCGGGCAGCAGAAATTGCACGCAAGAAAGTTCGGCTTCAGAACTTTGGAGCGCGGCCCCAGTGCTTGAGAGGTCCATCGGTTCGATCGAGCACCCTCAGGCGTCGGTGAGGGTGCCGTCCGCAACGCGAAATTGCCGCGCAGAGTGCTGGAGCTGCTGTCTATAATCAATTCTGGTTTTGTGCGCGCGGACGGGCTCGGCGAGTGTATCACATCAGACCTCGCAGCACACCAAGCAGCATATGGAGAGAATATTGAGAGTCATCATGGATATATAGACACCGTTGTGCCACGCATTTGCCGTCAGCGCTCTTCCGCCATCGCGTTTTAACAAGCTGCTGTCGTATGGAGCGGAAGCACCGCGTGCTCAAACGGAGGGCGAGTTTGAGATTCAATTGCACTTCATTCGAACGAGGTTTGATGGGGGACGCAGCGTTTTCACACTTGCTCGGCCTCTGTGTTTAGATCGTCGGGCCGGTTTCTTGGAGCCGCTTGCAGCATCCATGAAATGTGGGCGGCCATTGCTTCGGATATTGGTTGAATGAGCAGTTGTGAGGTGATGGCGGCGAACGCAGCTTTCGGGAACAGCCGAGTCGTCCATATGGGCGACACAGATGTGTCGGATGATTGGAACGGCTCGTTTGGGTCAGTCACTTGTACTTCCATTCCAGGGTAGGTGGTAAGATGCTGTCGGGCGTTTCGCCGTGCAGTGTAGTGAACTTGGGGGAAGGCGTCGCCCTTGTGTAGTGGACTAAGCTCCACAGTTCATGTGCACCAGCTGCGTTTTCGAGCCGTGCATATTTGAAGCTGCGGAGCTGGGAAGCATTTCTGGAAAGCTTTTCCCGCCCAAGTTGCCGCTGAGGCATTCCTGGGCCTCCTGACGGGGGGAGGGTGTGTAGTTATGATGGGGGGGGAGGGAAGGAGCAGAAGGAAAGAGAAACGAGCAAGCCTGTCTCTTCAACACTGCATGTTGCTTGACTTTACCACTGCTGCTGCGCATTGTAGCGTGGGGCACATCAAAAACAAAAAACATCGCAGTATTCAAGGAGTTTCCAGATATGTTCTGTGTAATTCCAGTTGTTTGATTTCTCCGCCTCCTCCTTTTCCCTCCTCCTTTTCCTGCACCTCCTTCCCCATGTCCTGTCCCCCCCCCTTTCCGAACCCCTCTCCCGCCTTCCCGCCTCAGGCCTGCAACGTACTTGCACTGCGCTCGCTAACTTACTTAATAGAGCTAGGGCCGAGGTCCGTAAGTAAGTTAGCCTGCTTCGGCTAAGTAGATTAGGAACCAGCTCGATCGTAGTTCGCTCAGCGCTGCTCTAACCTAGCCAGTGGAAAAGCCCTAATTTGGATGTGGTTCACGTAAAACGACGCGAAGGATTTCGTAAGCCCATTATCCATTCTGCGGGGAGTACACGCGAAACCCAAAAAGATTGGGCAATCATGGTTCCGGGCCCCTTGAAGCTCCCTCAGGAGTGTTCAAGGGATTTCGCAAAACACCTGAGGACATGCGCACTCCGTGCCGAGCGGCACGGCGGCGGATTTGGCTGCTCATGATATCGTTGGTGGTGTTACTTCTCGGGTTTCTGCCTTCGTATAAGAGCGCATGTTTGGCTCCCGAGCGCTAGCGGACGCTACCAGAGGGGGGGGGAAGCGTGCCGGCAACGTCGTCTGGAAACGTCTAGGAACAACCAGTGACATCTCGGAGGTCAGCACGCACTGTGCCGTGATACGCGGGGGGAGGGCGGCGGAGGGGGGGCGGCCTGAGCCGGTAACAGGCGCCATCGCGAACAAGGAAGGTGTTCGATTTTTTCTTCCCCCGAGAGTCACCGAGCGCGTTCCAGTACTCGAAAAACGCCTACACGCAGACGTCCGGAAAGCTCATGCTCGCCTCGACGTAATACGTAGATCGTAGATCCGCTGCGGCGGGTCCGGGCCATTTGCGAGTAGTTACTCTGAGAGTAGTGGAGCGCGCTGATCTACAGAGGCGGACATGCGCTCGTTCGCCACGCTCGTCGGGTTCGACGGGGACGCGGCGGCGTGGGCCACGGAGTACCGGCAGCTGGCCGCCGACCGGGGCTTCCCGCCCGCCGTTGGCGCCAGCCTCGGGGACTTCCTCGCGCTGATCGACGACCGGAGCGAGAGCGGCTCCTTCGTCTCCGACGAGCACCTTCAGCTCATCGTGGACGGCGAATGATGGGCCGATATTCCACCACCACTACCATGGGTAGGTCGGTGGAGAAGTGAGACTGGGGACGTCCTCCTCCTCCTCCTCCTCCTCCTCCGCCTCCTCCTCCTCCTCCTTCCTCCTACTCCGACTCCTGCTCTTAGCTATGGTAGTGGTGGTGGGACATCGGCCCACGAGCGAAGCAGAAACAACGGCACAAACACAAATTTTCGGAGTTCCGCATGGACAGAGACAAACTTTCGGAGTTCCGCATGGACAGTGGATGTGCGCTGGGCTCCCCTGGCGGCGCCTCCGGCGCGGACCCTGGCACGCCCCGCGCGCAAGGGAGGGGTGTCCAGCGCCGATCCCAGGAATCCGCGCGGAACACCCCGCAGATGCGGGTAAGAGTGAAGGGGAGGGCGCCGCTTCTGTCGCGGGTGGTTCGCGGGCGAGTCGCGGGTGTGTCGCGGGGGCGGTCGCGGGTGGGTCGCGGTTTGGTCGCGGGGGGGATGACGACAACAAAACACCATCAACTAGAATCCGCGTCGCCGAATCACTTTTCGTCCGCGCACCCAGGGATGGTGTACAACCGCTTGCCCCCCTAAATTTTTATATGAGTAGGGTCTTTCCCCTTACAGGAGAAGTATTCAGAAGTAGTCAAGTACCCTGCGACGTACCCAACCCTTTCTATACATGCGGCAAGTATACTCAGGACCACTCAATGCTCACAAGCATTCTGAAGGACTTGCAGTCCGCAAGAAGAGCACACAGCAGCGATTTCAGAAGAGCGCAGCAACAAGAGCAGCGGCGAACATACAAAACATACGCGCAAGGGGGCGTTTGTGGTGGTCCGCGTATGACGTACCTCCGCTGGGCCTCCCAGGAGCCCACGAAAGTGGCGACAGTTTCGCAGATCGCAGCCACCCAGGGCACCGCGAGCTATAGTGGTGGTCCGCGTATGAAGTACCTCCGCTGGGCAGTTGCGCAGATCGCAGCCCGACGCGTGGGACCCACCTCCGCTGGGCCTCCCAGGAGCCCACGAAAGTGGCGACGGTTGCGCGCAGATCGCAAGCCCCCCAAAGGGGGCTGCGAGGTACCGAGGTGATCCGCGTGGGACCCAGCTCCGCTGGGCCTCCCAGGAGCTCACGAAAGTGGCGACAGTTGCGCAGATCGCAGGCACCCCAGGGGGCGGCGAGGTACCGAGGTGATCCGCGTGGGACCCACCTCCGCTGGGCCTCCCAGGAGCCCACGAAAGTGGCGACAGTTTCGCAGATCGCAAGCTCCCCAGGGGGCGGCGAGGTACCGAGGTGATCTGCGTGGGACACACCTCCGCTGGGCCTCCCAGGAGCCCACGAAAGTGGCGACAGTTGCGCAGATCGCAAGCCCCCCAAAGGGGGCGGCGAGGTACCGAGGTGATTCGCGTGGGACCCACCTCCGCTGGGCCTCCCAGGAGCCCACGAAAGTGGCGACAGTTGCGCAGATCGCAGCCCGACGGCACGAGGGAAGAGGAGAGGGGAAGACGAGGAGGAGGGAGGAGGGGAGGAGAGGGGAGGAGAAGGAAGGAAGGTCGGGGCGACCACACTGCTCGATTCAAAACGAGAACCCAACACAGGAGGGTTGGGAAAAAAATAGTCAGGGGCTGAGTTATTTGATTATTTGTTCCATATGTCCTCTGAAATTCGCCTGTAGAAGGACATGCCCGACCCAGTCTTGCTTTGATGTGTTTGTGCCGCCCCCTACCCCTCCAGGACGAGCTCGGCCCGCGCCCGCCGCTGCAATCTCAGACTCTGGCCGCGGTGCCGCTGCAGCGCGACGAGCTCGTGGGCGCCATCTTCGCCCGGTGCGACGCCGACGGGGACGGCCTCCTGAACGAGCGCGAGATGCTGGTCTTCGAAGAAGAAGAGGCATAAACAGAAGCCTTCGGCGCTCCGCGCGGATTTCTTGGATCTGCGTTGGGCACCCCTGGCGGCGTCTCCGGCGACGCCCCTGGCGCGCTCCGCGCGCCAGGGAGGGGGTACAGCACAGATCTAAGAAATTCGCGCGGACCTCCAAAAGTTTCCGTTTCTGCCGTTTATTCTTCCTCTATAGGTCTTCGTCCGGCACGCGGGCTTCGACGGCAGCTTAGTGGAGTGGGCCGGTGAGTACCGGTCCCTCTGCAGGGACAACCACGTCGACCCCGAGGTCGCCAGAGAAGCAAGTGTACGCATGCACAGACGCGTAGTCTTTCGGAGTTCCGCGCGGATGTCTGGGATCGGCCCTGATCCCCCTCCCTGGCGCTCTGAGCGTGCCTGGGGCGGCGCCGGAGGCGCTGCCAGGGGGGTACAACGCCGTCCCGAGAAATCAGCGCGCAGCTTGGAAAGTTAATGTCCATGTCGGTCTTGGTTCCCAGAGAGGTTGGCATCACTTCCTCTCTCCTGAAAACAGTAGTCAGCGATCTGTCGGACTGCGGGCTGTACTGCAAGGACGAGGAACTGCGGGACATGCTGGCCAGCATCGAAGTCGAGGCCGCGGCGCCTCGCGCGGCCCGCGAGCCGTCGACAACCCAGGGCTAACGTTGGAGTCGGACGTAAAACAGTTCTTGCTTGCATGCTCCGTGGAAGTCGGAGGAGGATAAGGAGCGCTCAAGTCACCAACATCGCTTCCCATTCCTCGTTGTCGCATTTTTGAGTCTCCTTAGAGTCCCTCGTCGCCGCGTCTCGTGTGCGTGGAAGTTGAGACCGGAAAGCACCCTGGGATAGGTCCGGGGAGTAGCGGTATCGGTGCTTTCTGGGTCCATTGGTTCCTCCTCGATCGGCGAAGCTATATCGCGGGTGGCGCCTAAGGCTCCGTCAGGGGGGGCCAGCGTCTATCCAAGAACTCCGCGCGGACCTCCGAAAGTAAGGATCATGCAGTCATATCTTCTTGTAGAGGACGAAGCAGCGAGGAAGGATCAAGACAGTCAGCGGTTTCCCCCGCCCCCCCCCCTGCTCGGGCCTCCGCGGCAAGGGCAACGACAGGGGGGGACAGGCCCCGGGGGGTGAACATCGACCCCCATTGCCCATTCATCGCCGCCCATTCATCACTCCCTTTCCCGAGCAGAAACAGCCCCCAATCGTCTCGATCCTATTCTGGTCCTAGTCTTGGGCTGTGCATGTATCACGCGACGCAGCTCCGAGCCACTACAGTGGGGACGCGCAGCAAGGAACTAAATGCTTCGCTCCGTGAGCTGCGCGGTGACTCCCCGCGGCCGCTGAAGATGCTGCTGCGCTCAGGGTGCACCACCCCCTGTGCATCTCGCGCGCGTGCTTCTTGCAAGTGTTTCTTGCCATTGTTTCTTGCGGCCGCGTCCGCATTGTTCCATCGCCAACACCTGCCTTCCCAGGCTTCACATCTAGAAGCAAGCCACCCCTCCGCAGGTCCCGCCCCAAGCACCACGGCCCAGACCGTCCAGACCAGACTCTTGCTGCGACGAGCAGCCCAGGACCAGCTCGGCATCGCTCGGACGTGTGCATTTTTCCTGTCGCCGAGGATGATCGACGATTCTTTTGCGAGGGGGAAACGCACACGAAGCCGAAACATGCATTGGGAATGGGCGTCCGGGCGATGGCACGCCAAGCGCCGGCCAACCCAGCTCCCGCCCCCGATTCAGCCATGCGGAAAGTTGGGTGGGGGGAGAGGGGAAGGTTTCCAAGAAACACCCCTGCTATTCAGAGGGCGCGGGCCTTATCTGTAGATGTGTGGCCCGCGCCTTCTGTGAAGCAGCCTCCTTCAAGAAGCCGTTCCCACCTCCCCAACCGCATGTGCGCGCCGCCAATTCTCTCCGCCAGCCCACGGCCGCCTCCAGGATAGTTCGTTTTCCCCGCCAGCACGGCCCTTGATGTGGGAAGTCTGCTCCTGCAGCCATGTGGGTCGAGACTTGTCTCCGCCTCGGGGGCAGGGGGAGGACACTGGGTCTCGTGGTTCTTTGCTTTGCTTTGCAGTCCTGCCTCCTCCTGGCTCTGCCCCTCCGAGGGGGGCGGTGAGGCCCCGCGCGCCGCCGTGCCAGGCGCGCGTGGCTCGAGTTTTTTTTTCCGCGCTGGGCGTCCGGCGCGGGGGGGGGGGCGGGGGGCGCGCCGCAGGCGCAGGCGCCGCTCGGGAAGGGCGAGGGCGAACGCACGGAGCAGGATGGGGAGGGGGAGGGGCGAGACAGTGCGAGCAGGAGGAGAGGAGGAGGAGGAGAGGAGGAGGAGGAGGAGGAGGAGGAGGAGGAGGGGGAGGGGGAGGAGGAGGGGCGAGAAAGTGCGAGCAGGAGGAGAAGGAGGAGGAGGAGGAGGAGGAGGCAAGCTGGCCGCTCCTACCTCCTCTCTTCCCTGTGTGGCCTCAGGCCGGGGGGGTGGCATCCGGCGGCCCTCGTCCTCCTCTTCTCCCCCTTCCTCGGAAAAGGCCCCCCCCTCGCGCGCTTGGGCCCGGCGGCTCGCGCGTCGGCAGGGCAGGGTGCGCGGTGGAGTGGGGACCACGCGCAGCGGAAGAGGAAGAGGAGGAAGAGGAGGAAGAGGAGGCGGAGGAGGAGCAGGAGGAGGAGGAGGAGGCGGAGGAGGAGGAGGGAGGAGGACGAGGTGGGAGGAGGCGGAGGAGGAGGAGGAGCAGGTGGTTGGCATGGATCGAGTGCAAACAGCCTGAAGCCCGAAGGTTGGGGGTCGGAGGTGGGAGGTGGATGGGCAGAAGACAGGAGAGCGAGTTTCGAGGCCTCCTGGCTAGGGTCGGAGCAGATGGGGTCGGAGGATCGCGCCGCATCGCCGATGCATCGCCGATGCGGCTCGATGTCGAGCCCGATTTGCTTCACGTCGACATCGTTGATGCAGCGCCCACGTCGACGATGCATCGCCTGTGCATCGCCGATGCATCGCCGATGCATCGGCGACGCTGCGCGCTATCCCGACCCATCTACTCCGACCCCAACCTAGGAGACCTTTACTGCAGCCCGAGGTGGGAGGTCGGAGGTGGGAGGGGGAAAGAGGGGCAAACGACACGGGAGCGAGTTTGAGGACCAGGATGCCTTGAGGTGGCATGGCCGTGGGGCGCCTCAGCTCCGTCGGTGGGTCCAGTTTCCTGGAGTCACCGCCCTGAAGGGCACGGTGGCTAGAGGGTGCGAATGGCTCTGGGCTGTGGTCCAGGCCGCACGGAACGAGGTCCTCTGGGGCCAGGAACTTGCCAGAGTCTCATGAAGGCCGCAAGGGGGTCCCGGGAAGGCACCCAAAGGCAATTGATTCTGCATGCGCGTGCCGCACGCGTCCGAAAATCACACAAGCGGCACGGCTGGTGTGGCAGATCGTGCGGGTTGAACGTCAGAACTGCATGTTTGTGATTCCCAAAGGCAGGGGACTTTTGATGTTTTTTTTGTCGGCCACGCGTCCGGGACAGATATTAGCAGCATTGTTGGTAGGTTATCTTATTCATTGCCCAGCAGTGTGGCTGAGTGGGCATCGGGGCGGTGTTGGTCTCGTAGGGCCCCGAAGTTGTCACTGAGAGTGCGGGGACCGACAGACCCGTGCAACGTTCCCGTGTCCGTCTGCCGCATGGTGTTTGGTCTTTGAAGCTTTGCGTGGCTCAATCTGTGTTTGAGGCCAGGCGGCAATCTCGGAGTGACAGAGAGAGAGAGGAGGCGCGCAAGAAGGCCGAAGGGTAACCTCTCAGCACGAGGGGGCTGATTGAGGATAGGGGCGGTGCGGGTGTCAAAGCGGCATGGAGCCGACATTGAGAATGCGGGAGCCGATCGGCGCGTGAGATATTGCGGTCGTCGGGTTACTCGTGAGATATTGCGGTCGTCCCCTCACTCATGCCCCTCCTTCTTCTCAAAAAAAGGTTTCCGTGCGCCTCTGTCGCATAGTGCTCCTCTCCGTGAGCGTTCGTTGCTCAAGTCGTTCTTGAATACAGGTGGTCATATATTCGGATCCGTGACAGACGCCTCCTTCTGCCGCAACCATCGGGTGTTACCAAGCTTTCAACCACGCAGGCGATGCTGTGCTGTGCGGTGCGTGGAATACAGCATAGCACGTAACAGTCGGTGCGCATCCCGATTGATCTGTATTTCCGAGCAGTCGGGGGCATGATACTCCGAAGAGACTTACCTACCCTACGAAATGAAGCAGGGAGTTGCATGCTCAAAAGTTTCGCCCTTGCGGGTGGGAGGTGAAACGGCGATTCCCCCTTTTTGCGTTCTTCGCCATGCCATCGCCCTATGGGAGACGATCCGCGGAATCCACCCACAGACGTGAGAGAGTGCAGAACCGCTGACTTTTTGCCTCAGATTGCGTCCTTGACACAGCTGCCATGAGACGGGGACGGGCTAGCAGAATCTACGGATGTACGAAAGTCGGCACTGCTGCTAGCCAGCATCCTAGAAAGGACAGCAGTTGTACTTGGATATACGGGAGAGCATGTAGGACCGCTGGTGTTGCCGCAAAGCGCGTCCTTGAGGCAGTGGTTTCGTTACTGGGATAAGCGCGCAGAGGTCTGTGGATGCACAGACTCTGGCATGGCCGCCAACTGGCGAGCAACATGTCGCGAACCATGGTATCCAGCGAAGCACGAGAGTGCGCAGGACCGCCGGTCTTGTCGCCAAGCTGTGCCCTTGAGGCACACGTTTCGCGACGGGGGCGATCGCGCAGAATCCGCGGGCGCACGCGAGTGGGCATGCCCCCCAGCTGGCAACCAAAAGGAGACGAATCGTGGTAGAAGGAGAGACGTGGGAGTGAGCAGGTCCGCCACCCTTGCCGCCTGACGGCGTGCAACTGCCGCGCGACGGGGGTTAGCGGCTGGCCAGCGCGTATAATCTGCGGACGCAGGAGAGCTACCACTGCCGCCACCTAGCGCCTAATCGATTACGACACGTGGTAGCTGGAGAGGTACGGGGGCGCGCGGTGCCGCCAGCCTTGCCGCCGGGCTGCGACCTTGGGGCCACTGCCTCGCGACGCGGGTGAACGCGCAGATGCGCGGCCGCGCGAGGCTTGGCAGCACCACCCGCCAGCGCCCGAGAAACGACAGACCGCGATGATCAGAGAGACGGGGGAGTGCGCAGGGCCGCCGGCCTTGCCGCCTGTCTGTATCTATGGGGCAACTGCCTCGCAATGTGGGCTACTGCGCGGAAGCTGGCATTGCTGGCCGTCCGGCCGCCAGGAGGAGACGGCTTTTGGTGGCGGATAGACGCGAGTGCGCGGGCCGCCAGCTTCGCCGTCGGCCCCGGGTCGCGGCTTTGAGACAGCTCCTTCGCGACGGGGGCAGGCTTGAAGATTCGGCGCGTGCGCGAAATCTTCGGAAACCGCTTGGCGCGCCGGGCCGCTGGCCTTGCCGCCAGACTGCGCACTTCAGGCACCTGCCTCGCGACGGGGTCAAGCGCGCAAAATCAACTGGCGCGCGAAAGCTAGGGCGGCGGTAGACCATCGCGCAAAAGGATAATAACCGCAGCGACGGGGGATATCTGGGAGCGCGCGCCCCCGCCGGCCCTGTCGTCGCCGCCAGCCAGAGTTCAAGAGGGGATGGGCCGCGGAAACCATGGATGCGCTCGAGCGCGCAAGGCCGCAAGCCTTGCCGCCCG